CACCTAAACAGATGGACTACTCCATTGGGAACAAGACAACTAATCTTAAGACTTTACAGACACAGCTGCTCTTGTTTTTCTGAGCAGCCAATGCAACCCAACCAACAGGGCCTTTGCTCTCCAAAGTACCAAGTGATCAATACATTTGTCAATGTCAATTTCCATCCTGTTTAGAATAATTATAATTCTTGCCATGTACTGTATGTGTATACATCTGAACTAAACTGTGTTGTTTCTCTGTGTCATATAATAATATACGTGGGTATGTGGATATATGCATAATATTTATTTATTTAGTCATGTTTATTGGAGATGGCAACCCTTTGAGAGCTGTATGCAATGAAATTTCATTTTAATGTTATGTGTCAGCTTTGGAAACCTTATTCAACGCTGCCACATAGCTTGAGAAAGTGGGAGAGGGGTGATTTTAATTGAGTAGTTCTTAGTAGACAAAATAAAATTCTTTTGTTAGTTCAAGGTCATAGAGTGTGGCACAGGAACAAAAAGGAACTTACTTTGGGATTGGTTCATGTGATGTGGTGATGGGGGAAAAAGGGATGGTTTGTAGTTTGGGACATTGTGGGAAGTCTGGGAAAATTTTAGTTTTGAAATTCCACAGATGTGCCAGGTGCTATTCTAATAATTTTGAGATGATGCCTGTCTCAGAGTTACTGATTGGAATGGAGGTTCCCTCGAACGCTGACAGTATGTCAATTAGTGTACATTTAAAGTGACAATAAAGTTATTCTAAGTCTAAGTCTAAAAAGTGTAGGGTGCATATATATATAATGGCAAGTGTCAGATGGGATAGGCTTGGTAAGATTTTATTTAAGATTTAGACTTCGAGAATCTTCTGGGAACAAGAGTGAATCTGTGAAAGAGAGGTGGGTTCCATTTAAAACGGTGCCAGCCTGATGATAAAAGCAATATCAGGAAGGTGCCAGAGCATCCTTCAAATTGATCCCAAGGGAAGCAGACTAGTGATGGGCAACATAGCCTTGTGAAAAGGATACTATAGACATTTCAGGACTTTGGGTCTATTATAAATGATAGATGCTGGAAATGGGTCAATGGATGGCCAATGTTGGAAATGGGTTAATGGATGGCCATAGAAATCAGAAGACAAAAGATGATGACAAGGCCAGGAAACGATTTGCATTAATGGCAACTGAAAAAGGACATGAATTATATTTCTCTGGCAGGCTAAAAGTCTCCAAGCCAAGAAAGGGAATTAGAATGTTTGGTTGTGAATAAGCAAAAGCACAGATATGGTGAATAGAAGTCTGGAGGAATTGAAAGGAATCTGGATGATATGAACATTCCATAATATAAGGAAGGAGAGGATGTATCCAGTGGTGGGATTCATTTTTTTTTTTACTACCGGTTCTGTGGGCGTGGCTTGGTGGGCATGGCAGGGGGAGGATACAATAAAACCTCCAGTCAGAGGTGATATTTGCCGTTTTTCTGAACTACTCAAAATTTCCGCTATTGGTTCCCCAGAACTGGTCAGAACCTGCTGAATACCACCTCTGGATGTATCAGGAAAGGTATTGCTTTTTACACCAAAACAGAGGTGGTATTCAGCAGGTTCTGACCAGTTCTGGGGAACCAGTAGCGGAAATTTTGAGTAGTTCAGAGAACCGGTAGCAGAAAATTTGAGTACTTTGGAATACCACCTCTGACTGGCCTCGTCCCCATCTATTCTCTGCCTCCCAAGTCCCAGCTGATCGGCTTCTTTTGTTGCACTGCACAGGAGAACGGAGCTGGAAAGCAGGTGAGCGGGTGGGAAGGGAAAGGGGATTTTGCAGTATCCTTCCCCTGCCACGTCCACCAAGCCACACCATACCCACCAAGCCACACCCACAGAATTGGTAGTAAACATTTTTTGAATCCCACCACTGCACCTAAAGTATAAATATTAATAAAAAACAAAACAGTGGAAGTCTGGGTTTTTCTGCAGAATCATTGTAGAAGGCATTATCTGGCCACAATTATAAATCAGATCCAAGAATATGCTAGAGCCCTCTAATCAGAAGTCTGAAGGTGATTTTGAATTATTGAAAGATGTTTGAGGCTAACAGTGAGAAGCTGGTACAGTGATGGTGGATTGCAATGGCATTCATGTAATCTCAGTATATTTATGCTTAGGCTATAAAAAGACATCATATTTAGTATATAAACTAATTACAGGTAGTCCTCAACTTACGACCACAATGGAGCCCAAAATTTCTCTTGCTAAGTGAGACATTTGTTAAGTGAGTTTTGCCCCATTTTTACCACCTTTCCGGCCACAGTTGTTAATGCATTTGTCAATTTATTAATAAGGTTCCTAAGTGATTTGGACTTCCTCATACACTTTGCTTGTCTGAAGTTTGCAGAAGATAATCATATATTGGGATAATGCAACTGTCATAAACACGAGTCAGTTGCCAAGCATCTGAATTTTGATCACTTGACCAATGGAGATGCTGCAACAGTTGTAAGTGTGAAAAACGGTCATAAGTCACTTTTTTCAGTGCCTCTGTAACTTAGAACGGTCACTAAATGGATGTTGTACATCAGATAACAGATAATCAGAGTTGGAAGGGACCTTGTAGGTCATCTAGTCCAAACCCCCGCCCAAGTAGGAGACCCTACACCATTTCTGACAAATGGTAGTCCAATCTCTCCGTAAAAGTCTCAAGTGATGGTGCTTTAACAACTTCCGAGGGCAAGTTGTTCCATTGGTTGATTGTTCTCACTGTCAGAAAGTTTCTCCTTATTTCCAAGTTAAATCTCTCCTTGTTCAGTTTCCATCCATTATTCCTTGTTTGGTCTACAGGCACTTTAGAAGTCGAGGACTACCTGTATTGTGTGTTTAAATAAACTACATTTAAACAACCTAAACAACTTAAATTAAGATAAGGAGTCTTTCAACTGACTAGGGAAGCTAAAACTCTGGATTTAATTCTAAATAGTGATTGTCATCCGATCTGACACAAATGTGCGGTGAAGCCAAAAGGAAGAACTGATCATAATGCTATTCCAATAGAAAAGAATGTATCTAGCTCAGAATTGAACTGCTTGGTTCATGCTTCTCCCTGAGCTTGGTTGTTTTCTTGTTTTCTTTTCCTGTTTCATTACCAGGTTAGGTAATATTATCAGTGTGAGAGAATATCAGGTTCGCTGGCTATTTATATTTAATAGCTTGCCCTATCGGACTTCTAGGTTGGAAGTACCATGATTTCAAGTTCTAGTTAGAGAGAAACAATGAATACTATATGTGTTCAGTTCCCAATTAGGAGTATCCCAAAGTCATTTGTTTGGTCATTGTGAGAAATGAAGTGCTGGGTCTTGTCCTGATCCAGCTAGAACTATTCTCATGTTTTTTATGTTAATGTAGACAACACTAGCTGGATACCCATGCTTCGCTATGAAACTATGTGGTCAGGCTTAGTTTTGGAGGAGGAAAATAAGGGGAAAAAACTCTGCCTCTACCTACCAGCATCCAATCGTATTCATCTGGTTAGCGTCCTGTCAGTGTGTGAGAGAGTTGAAGGCTTTTTGGAAACTGAAATAGTATTTGCTGTGTGAGCAAGAAGAAGACAGCAAGCAGCCTGGGCATGGCTTAGCTCAATTGTTCAGTACTAAAGCTAGTTGCTGCTGTGAAACTAAAACTGAAACTCTTCTCCTCTGCTTGTGTTTTGCATTTGGAACAGATTTCTTTTCGGGTGGGGAGGGGGAGTAGAACTCCTTAGCATCAGAGTGTGTTAATAATAATATAGGAAATACGAATGCTCTGATGGTCATTTCGAAAAATCCTTTCTTAGTGAGCACCTAGAAGCCAAGAGAAATATACATGCCAAATTTCAAGTTTGTAGGCTTTATGGTTATGGAGATTTTGTGATGATGTATGAGTGATATTTCGCTTTTATATATATAAGAAGATCAGACAATATCAAAGGAGATGGTAAATTTGAACCTGAGCATGTAACAATAAAATCAATAGAATATTCATAATATTTCATTAGCAATTTCCTGATACATTTATTTATAAATCTGAAGATACTTCTTAACAGAAAGGTAAATCATTGGTTCCCATGTGTATCTGTGTACATCCACATATATCTCATTTTTGAGTAAATATTTATTCTTTACTAGCTGAGCTGAGGATTTCCAGCTTGGTAAGAAATAGCTTTATATTTTATTGTAAACACTGATTCATCCAGACGTCCTTTGTATTTCAGATCTGCTGTTTGGCTTACAGCTTCAGGAGGCCATAAAAAAACTACAGATTATGATATAGTACTTAGCAGGCAAGACACGATTCTGCCATGATTAGAACTGTGACTACCGCAGCATGTTGCATCTTAAGAAATGATTGACAGAACCTGCAATTCTGAATTGGATTATCAAACATCTGCTTCAAGGGCCATGTGCAGGGAGCAGGTAAGAAAGACAATGGAACATGTATACATGACAAGACGACTTTTACAATGCATAATTTCTATCTAAATCAAAAATAGAAATGATGGAAATCTAAATTATGTAGTCTCATGCAACTCAATAGTGTGCCTGTTGCCACTGAAGTAAGGCCTACTATATTGGAATAAAGCTTTTTTTTAAAATCACAGAGTAAACACTAAAGCAGTTAACAAAGTGCAAGACAGTTACATCACAGAGACTTCAGATCATTCTTTCACTTAATTAAGATCTTTCGATAAAGGGATTACTGTAAGTTGTGCAATCTTAATGCATTAAGATCTTAGCTATAGGGATGGCATACCCAAACAGCAAAGCAAAACAAAACATGGAAACCAACTCAAAAGTGGAAATATCCCATCCCATTTGCACGATGTCATGGTAATATCTCCTTGTCTGCTCTCTTCTCTGGTGCGTATCCACGTGCATGTGTGATCACACAACTCTCAAAAGTTTGCCAGCTGCTGATTCAATTTCTCCCCCCCCTACCCCACTCCATTTTTGAATATGAGGATTTTTCATGTATTTTTTATTTTTACCTGATAGGCGCTCCTTTTGCTTGTGCTGGTCTCAGAAGTACAGTTATGGTTGTGGCTGTTTCATTGAGAAAAGCATCAATACCTTCGTAATCTGGTAATGTGGGAGCTGGATTTAAAAAAAAAGGATATCATTGTTAAAAAATATGCAGGTTTTCTAGCAGGTTTTCACAAACAAAAATTACTTGATGACAATTTTGTAAACTGGTGAAGCAAATTGCAAATTCTAGTAATGTGTCGCATGGGGTTTAAGTTAAAAATATATTCAGTCATGACATTGAAACACTGCAATACTGATTAGGATTTTCAAATGTTCTAAGCTTATTAAATGTAAAAATATTGTTATTTCTTTGAATTCTCTCTAATTTCTTGTGTGTGGAACCATTATAGAATCACTGGATTTCTTTGATGACGCTTCATACAATCAGAATTTGCTGTGGTCCACCCAAGGATATAACAACCCTCCAATCCATCTTTTTTTCAATCAGGGCAGTGAATACAATTAAAATTTCAGTAGCTATAATTTAAAACAACTTTGAAGCTGGTCAGGACAGAAAATAGCACTAAGAGTTAATATTAGACAAAAGAACTAGTAATGCCTTACAGCAATATAAATTAATAACTGAAACTGTACTCTTGACCACTTCATCCTTGGGAAATAATATCATCATCTAAATTTATATCATAGGACTTATAAAAAATTGGCATGAATGCTACAACAATCTCTCACTTTTGTTTTACAGTCTTCTATCCCATTGGGCGTGGCAGCTAAGCAATTAAGATGCTGGGCTTGTCAACTAGAAGGTTGGCAGTTTAAGACCAAGTACCATGTGATGGAGTGTGGTTCCATTACTTGTCCCAGCTCCTACCAACCTAGCAGTTTGAAAGCATGTAAATGCAAGTAGATAAATAGGAATCACTTTAGTGGGAAAATAACAGCACTCGGTGCACCTTAGCATATAGTCATGCCGGCCACATGACCACAGAAGTGTCTTTGGACAATGCTGGCTTCCTCAGCTAGGAAACAGAGATGAGCATCACCCCCTAGAATCAGACATGACTGGCAGGGTAAACCTTTACCTTTATATTCTGTCCAGATTTTATATAGGGTTAGTTTGAGCTGAGCAAGAAATCTACTATGAAATGTGGTTGTTTGGAAAATAGGATACATGAAAACTATAGCAGAATATTGCATATTTTGGAGAGGCATCTAATTCATTTTGGTTACATATGAAGATAAAGTAGACCATTCAGGAGCCAATAAAATCTTCAACCATTCAACTGAAATTATTACTACTTTCTAGCCCTTGCCATGAATCGTGACAATAGTACAGTAAGTTGTCAACATTCTTAGCATAACTTAAAATCTTACTACAGTCTCAAGAGGATTTTCTAAACTATACCCAGACTTTAAAAATAATCTGTTCTTCAGACTATACATCCTGAACATCACCTTGGCTCTATTCTACTTAGAGATTTTTTTTGTACTAAAAAGAGAGTGGGTAGGGACTTGTTGTAATAATGTACACTTAAATGTGGCTATAAGTTGTCAATGTTGAGAAATACTGCATTAGTGGTCTCAGACAATCCATTTACTATGAAAATGCTTGTGATTTTATATGCCTTGGCTTGTAATTTAAAGTAGTTAAAAAAATGAAATAGTTTTTCTCTTTCTCACTCTCGCTAGGTAAGAGTCACACTTTAAAGAAAAAGTAAATATTTCTCATGAGAACAGTTTAAATCAATTTGAAATTATTGATAACCAACATGTTAAAGATTTTGATGGAAATGAAGTTACTCTGAGCGAACTGACCTCATTACAGAGCATCTTATGCAGAGATATTTTATGTGTTTTAATATTTCTTACAGTACTAAATGAGACCATTAATTTAAGTTGTATATAAAAGAAAACTTGTCTGACTCAGAGCTCTACTGTCTTTTGTTTTCATGCACCAGAGGAAACCAGCCCAATATTGGTTCAGTTTCTCCAAACCACTATTGAAGCTGCTAATTTATTATTGTCTAGACAAACTCAGTCTTTGGCAGGGAACAATAAGAAAAGCAGGAGACTTTCTCAGGGAGTCACAGAACACAAACTGTTTAATTGAGAACATTTGGCAGCAAGACAAAAGGGGGGAAAAACCTATTTTGTTGTATCCAGCTGCTTTATGATATCTGGATGTTGGTATCAAGAAATTCTCTAATCTAGAAACCAGAATATTCTTCTAAGAGAAGATAAGTTTGTAGTAAATTAGTAGAATTAGAACCTAATTTTTAAAAAAGAATTTCATGATGTTCCATAGGTTGGTATTTTAAAGATATGGACAAACTAAACTGCGAGCTCTAAATATGCTACAGGGCAGTAGAAGGACATGTCCAAATGAATGCCACTGTGCAGGGCTGCCAAAAAGACATAGGTGAGTGGGTGGTGGGTAGGCATAGTTATAGTTGCAGTTGTAAGTGCTGCTCGGAGTGGTGAGGTGACTGAGGCTTCCTGGTGCATGGTAGCTTTGGATCGTATTTGCTGGACCAGGCTGAGCCAGCTAAGACTTCCAGGAGTGGCTGCAGGTTTGCACCACATTTCATTGCAGCTCCCTTCAACTTGTGCACAGCCTGAGTGGGCCCCCCCACTTCTGTGTGGCTGCCCTGTGCTCTTACCTGGGACACCTCTGCTTAATGACCTACGATTCTTGGTTATTGAAGGCAACTGGGAGTGCTGGGATTGTGGTCACTAAGTGATGTGGTCTCACATTAAAACTGCATCACTTCGTGATAGAAATTCTGCTCTCAATTGTGGTCGTAAGGACAATCTGTCCCATGTTCATTTCGCTCTCTCCTGGTACTCACTTTTGGTCACTCCAGGTAACACCAAAGAAAAGGCCCAGAATCTATCACTAAACTAATAATAAGCTGTAAGACCATCGGTTATTGTATATAGAGTCCTTGTGGATTAGAGATTTAAGATGGGTCCTTGTGGTTGGAGCCATTGCAGTGTCTTTGCAATCACATGATCTCAATGGTCACATGATTGCCATTTGCGACTCCCTGCCTGCTTCTAACAAGCAAAGTTAATGGGGAAGGCAGCAGGAGGCTCCAAGAGGCAATCATTTGACCATAGGGTGCTGCAAATGGCATGGCATTGGCCTAATGGCAACCTATGAGTTGTGGGGGCACAGTGGTTAGAGTGCAGTACTGCAGGCTACTTCTGCTGACTGTGAGCTGCCTGCAATTTGGCAGTTCAAATCTCACCAGGCTCAAGGTCAACTCAGCCTTCCATCCTTCCAAGGTGGGTAAAATGAGGACACAAATAGTTGGGGGCAATATGCTGACTCTATAAACCACTTAGAGAGGGCTGTAAAGCAGTATAAAGCAGCATATGTCTAAGTGCTATTGCTACGGCTAGTGGACTGCTGCCACTGCCATCTTAAGTTGGTCATGTGACATCTCACTTTATGACTCTGTTGTTTAGTGACAAGGTTGCAGGTCCCAATTACCAGAAGACTACCTGTACATGGAAGTCAAGTTTATTTTATTTGTTCGCAAAGATTCTACCAGACTGTAGGATGGTAAATAAAAGATTAAAATAGTGCATCTTCCCAAAATTGGAGAACTATCAGTTTAATTGATCCATAACATTGTTTTTGAATATTTAATGATTATTTTATTATTAGTAAAATAATAATAATGTAATCATTATTTTAAAGAAGTGGTAAATTTGGGAGGTTTTTGTTTTGTTCTGCATTTTAATCTTTGTATGCCATTCAGAGTCACTTTCATCAAATGGGGGCCACCTAAATTAGTTAAAAACTAAGCAAATTAAACCAGGCTAGTTTTGGGGAGTTTAACACCAATTCCCACAATTCCTTCAATGTCAAGAACACTGGGCTGCATTCTAATGTATAACATAGCAAAAATAAGTACATATAACTGCATAGTAGATTCTGGACAACCGTTTGCAAAATTTCATGACAATCTTGATAATTTAGTATGAATCTTAAAACAATCTATACCTTCACTGATTTAAATATGCACATCCATAAATACACATAGTCATCTTTCTGGGTTCTTATTTATCACTACCCACTTACTATATCAGGTTTGTAGCCACTGTGACTTTCATGCATTCCTTATATGGAAATGGAGTTGGTTTCAACTGAAGAAAGGAGATTTATTATGATACATTTAACAACTTTTCCATGTTTGTCCTTACCTGAAATATTGGTAGTTACATTGATGGCTATAGCTGGTCCAAAACCTTTGACAGTGCTGGCCCTTATATAAAACTGATATGTAGTCCCAGGATGTAGATAGGGAAAAACATGGTGTGTACTGTTCCATAATTTTGACACAGTTTGAGGTGGCCCGGCCACTGGAACTGCAGGATCAAAGGATCGTATGCTAGTGTAACTGACCTGTGGAAATCATGTCAGAGATTTAGTGGAACTCCAAGCCTGTTTAATACATTGCTATGAATTAGTTTTTTAAAAAATAATGTTTCAAAAAATAATGTCTTTGAATTTCCCATTTTCTTTGAATCCCTGTAGTGAAATATAAGTATAGTCTTACAGATCCTTAGGACTACAAAATATTTCTGGTGGGCCACAAATTATGTAAACAGTTGTGATTTGTACAATGCCAACATAGGTTTATTTGTTTATTTTGTGGCACATTTACCACATTTTTTCTCCCCTTCTTTCTAATAAACCTACAGATACGGAAGCTGTGTGATGTTTGCTTATTCAAGTGTTTATACTGAATATACAATGTATATACTGAACTCTTCCTATAAGTATTTTTATTGAAGAACCAGCAATTGAAAGTACCCATTTAACACAACAAAAACTAAATAATTGGAATATATGATGGAGGCATTTAAGTGCCTCCAGTAGATATTTAGTTTGTTTAATGAGAAATGTGGTATTGACAAGACTGCCTATTTCTAAAAACTGACATACATAATAAATTGGATGCCATATTATTTTTCCCCTTCGTTCCTCAAGGGCTCATTCATCAAATATATGCTTTTTTTAAAAAAAAATATCAGTATTTGCATTTCAAGTTTCCATGAGAGAAAACCTTGAAGTCTAGAAAATGTCTCATATCTATTAATAATTCTCACATATAATATCTGTAGCCTTCATTAGAAAGAGTTCCATTAAATCATGATTTTTGAAGGCTATATATTAATGCTACCAGATCTAAATCAAAGTTGCATATTTAAGTCCTAGATTTTATCATTTATTACAAGCTCACTCGCAATGTATTGGCAAAAACAAGACTTCATTATTATGCAATTTTAGTCTGTATTTTTCATTTTTATTCTGAAAGTTCTATCCGCTCTGTGACTGAAACAAAAGATCGTTAACAGTATATGCTAATTTAAGAATTAATTCACAGATTTATCATTGGGTGAGATGCATGGTGTGTTGACAGATGCTGTTCCTTAAATTTAAAAAATGGACAATATTTGTGGCCCTGATACTTTCATATAGTTTAATACATTCATTTAGAGGCAAGAATACATCGTAACACAATTTTCTTCCATCCTTTATGCCCCAATGTAACATAAGTTGTGTCACTTGACAATGAGATGGGTAGCATATAAATTTAATAAATAGGTTTTTTTGAATAGGAAAGACTGCCCACGTGCCTTTATAAGTAGAGATGCGCCAAAATGCTGCTGTTGTTGTTGTTTTAAAAAAATTTTTTTAACAGCATGGAAATGATTTCTGTTGTATGTTGCTCAGCTATAGGTTGATCAGTGGGCAGTGAGAGAAACTCCACAAAGCAGCCAGGGACCCTATGAAGTAACAGCTCACTTACCAGAAATAGACTGAAAAGAAGAGGCTACCATAGCCCACCCCACCTTTTTTTCATTTCTACAATTTTACATTGTTTTTCTGATGTCCTGGGATCCATTCAGAATATTTAGAGTGCTTTTGATCAGGGATATATTTCAAACCAATATATACAATATAATAATGCATTCTGATTAAGCAGATGATCTATTGATCTATTAAGAGCCTGATGATAGCAAAAAAAGAAAAAAAACCTTGGGGATCTCATAACCTAAATCCAGAATCTAGATAAAAATGCCATCTGTGGTTTATTTTTCTTTTGTTTTTTCAAAAATAAACCCATGTATTTTTTGCCCAATTAAGCAAAAATTTCAATTCTTTTAACTCCTTTTAATTTTAACTTTGTTCTTATTTATGTTTTATATTATGTTTGTTGTAAATGCTAAGAGCCATCTAGGTGAGATGGGAGGGTAGAAATACGATAAATGAAAATAAATAAATAAAATGTTATTACTACCTCATATTGGGTGATGATACCATTTGGGTCCATTGGTTCTTTCCAATTTAAGAAGATCTTATCTTCAAAGGGAGTTCCTTTTAATGATTTTGTAGGTACGGGACCAGGCACTGCAAAAATAACATTAATAATATACAATATTATAATTTGTTTATTTATATTCTGTATACCCCTAGTTTAACTAACCTGTGGCTGCTGAATATATGTGTGTGTGTGTGTGTGTGTGTGTGTGTGTGTGTGTGTGTTTTCTTAAGTTTTCACGGGTACTTATATATATGGTATTCAGCTCTGTTCAGGTATTTTCCCACGTCATTATAGTTGTGTTTTAAAGTTGTAGCAACGTTTCGGCAGAATCTCATCTGCCATCATCAGGCTTCTGTATTGTGTTCGTCTGTGAGTCAGACTTTCACAGCCGTTTCAGTTTTAAATTTGGGGCTAGCCTACTGCTGTGCCAGAATATTTTTTTCTTCATCCTGATTGGTTGGGAGTCTTGGTATGTGTTTATTGGTCTTGGAATTTGCTGTGTTCTGCTTGATTGGTGTTTCTAATATCTTCTGTCTGTTTTTTGGCTCTTTTTGTATCTTGATTGGCTGGCAACATTGTGTTCCTGTATTGGAGGCTTTTAGTGCAGCTTGGCTCCGAGTAAATGGACGGCTATCATTTATTAGGAAGCTAGGTTTCATCTGGGTGCCTGGTTGGGGTGTGTTTGAGCTGGAGGTATCAGGGGGGATCTGTTTGTGCCCAGGTGTTTGCCTGGCTTGTGATGTGGAGATCTTTTTTGTTTGTGAGTGCAGGCTTCCAAATAATTGACAGTCTGGTGGAATCATCTCTTCTATTCATGCTTTCAGGTCTTTTTTCAATCTCTATGGCTTCTCTGATAATTCTGTGGCTGGGGTTTTCTATAGTGGCTAGGGTTTTGGTGCCATTGAAGTCGATGCTATGACCTGTTGCTTTCATGTGTTGGACTAGTGAGGAAGTGTGAATACCATATAAAGCTGAATATCATATAGATAGATAGATAGATAGATAGATAGATAGATAGATAGATAGATATAATTAAATATATTTGTATATGTATGAGATGGTGTTACTGAGGTAACAGCCAAGAAAATAAATAAATTTTAAATTATTCTGTATTTCAATTCTATAGGACATCTATTAAACAACCCACAGCTCTTTGCGATTATCAATAGATAATCTCAGAAGAACTGTACATTCAAAAATATTGAGGTGGGCAACAATTTGCTTTTATTTAAAAACCCACATCTGTGATTCAGACAGCTTTTTAAATTATTTTTTCTTGTGCTTTAATCTAAGGCACACAAATTCACATGTAACATTTCCTACAGGTTTTCAAAACATGTAGCAATTTCATAAAAGTAAAATAATAATAATAATAAGTTAGTGGATAACAGAATATATTACGCAATATGCCTGCAGCAGTAAGAAATGGCAGGAAGTCCTTTACTGGTGTCAGATTAATTTCAGATTGTGTGAAAGTATAAATAAGTTGCCCCTTAGGCACCCAATGTAATTTGATAAATTAAAAATAAATTCACAATGTAAAGCTATCATAGGTACACAGATGAAATTTTGAACTCTCATCTTTTGTGAAATACATTTGTCCATAAGTCTATTTCAGACTGCTGTTCATTGCCTCACAAAGCTGACAAAAATATCACAGCAGTTCATAGCTGATGTGCCTTGACAGTCCTTCCGGGCTGTACTATGGCTCTTGCTGATTTCCTTCAAGTCTTCTTCTTCTTCCTCTTCCTCTTCCTCTTCCTCTTATTCTTATTATTATTGGAACCCCATTTGTTTCTCTTAACTACAATTCGAAGGAACCTTGGGTTTCAAGGCATATATTTTGGCCCAAGTGATAGATTTCTTTTGATCAATAACTGCACTGCAATATATCCAGTAAATTAATATAGTTATGTTATTTGCAGAGCTGGAATGTTTGTGGCAAATTCAGCCACCAAAGCACATTCAGGGTTTTGGGATTGGGTGTAAAATCAAAGAATTGGGAATCACCATTGTGTGGTGAGAATGAAACTAGAATACAGCCGTTAACCAAAAACAGATTATCATACGAATTAACATTTGAGATCCATTTCCACACCCATTCACATCTTTGGTTCCATTGCCTTGTTGATGCACTTATTAACAAAATAGTTGCACTGCATTAACAAAAAGCTATAACTTGAAAAATCCCATTAAAGCTAGCCCATGACTTACCGACAATTGAACCCCCAAATTTCTGTTGCAAAATAAAACTGTTAAGTGAGGTTTGACCCTTTTTACAAACTTTCTTGCCACAGTTGTTAAGTGAAGCACTGCAGTTGTTAAGTTAGTAACACAGTTGAAGAGAATCTGGCTTCCTCATTGACTTTGCTTGTCAGAAGGTCACAAAAGGAGATCACATGGCCCCAGAACACATGATCATGACGATGATACAACGATCATAAGTATGAAAAACAGTCATAAACTGCCCAAGGAGCTGCTGATACAGTTCTACAGAGACATTATTGAGTTTATCATCTGCACCTCTATAACTGTCTGGTTTGGTTCTGCAACCCAACAGGACAGACACAGACTTCAGAGGATAATTAGGACTGCAGAAAAAACAATTACTACCAACCTGCCTTCAATCAAGGACCTGTATACTACACGAGTCAAAAAGAGGGCTGTGAAAATATTTACAAACCCCTCACATCCCAGACATAAACTGTTTCAACTCCTGTCCTCAAAACAACGCTATAGAGCACTGCCCACCAAAACAACTAGACACAAGGACACTTTTCCCCCCCGAAAGCCATCACTCTCCTAAACAAATAATTTCCTCAATACCATCCAGCTATTTACAAAGTCTGCACTGCTATTACTGTTAATCTTCTCATCACTCCTTATCACTCATCCCCTCCCACTTGTTACTGTATGACTGTAACTTTTTTTCTTGTATCCTTACGATTTATATTGATTGTTTCCTAGTATGATTTGATTGCTTATTGTACCCTACGACTATCACTAAGAGTTGTACCTTATGATCCTTGACGAATGTATCTTTTCTTTTATGTACACTGAGAGCATTTGCACCAAGACAAATTCCTTGTGTGTACAATCACACTTGGCCAATAAAGAATTCTATTCTATTCTGTTCTGTTCTATTCTATGTCACTTTTTTCAATGCCATTATAAATTTGCTAAGGTTGCTAAAGGTCACTAAAGTGTAAGCCTGCAGATTACACTGAGATCTAGGCTTAAATCAGTAGAGGATGAACTGTGATCCTGAGCCTGGTTCCATAGGTTTTAAAATCAAATAATGCTAATCATGATCAGTGCATAGCTCTAACAAGGGCTTCTTCCTTCACCATCAGGCAACTAGGTAAGAAGAGAGAAGAACATACTCGTAATCTTTGTTTAGCAATTACTTTGTTTAGGGGCCATTTGTAGTCACAGCAGTGACGAAAAAATAACTTCACAACCTCTCCTTGCATTTACAACCTTCTCAGGTTTGTAAAGCAAAAGAAAACTGAAGTAGGATCGTAAGCAGACTCGCAATTCACTTAGCAATCACTTTGCTTAATGACCAACTTGCTGGTCCCAACTGTGGTCACTAAAAGAGAACTACCTGTAAAGAGAAGGAAGTACTAGACATAAGGAAAGAAGGGGAAATCTCATCATTGAAAAAGAGAAAGAGAAACCATTGTTTACCTCACTCTTCTGTTCTAATCACTGCATTCAGGGCAACCAAATGCAGTATTAACCCAATTAAATTTCCCCATTATTTTTTATGCCTTAAAAATGTTACAGCATTATTAGTACCATTGTTTGCCAATGTTGCCCAGGTGTTAACTGAATATTTTTGCCATTTTCAATTGGAATTATTAATAAAAGTAGATTAACCATCATGGCTCTTGACCAGCTTTTTACTTCTCCACTAAATTTTCTTTATTTATCAAATTAATAAGTCTTAAGAGGCCTTTGCCCTTTCTTCCAAATCATACGAATACTGAATGTGATAAACCAGCTGTCACCCCGCCTGACAGACTAGAACACTGGGCCGTATCTAACAAAATGAAATTCAATGTATAGAAAAGTAAAGTCCTACATTTAGGCAAGAAAAACCAAAAGTACACATATAGACTGCATGAAACCAGGCTCAATAGCAGTAACTGTGAGAGAGATCTTGGAGTCTTAGTAGACAACCAGCTAAATATGAGCCAGCAGTGTGCAGCAGCAGACAAAAAAGCTAATGCAATCCTAAGTGAACACAATCAAGATCAAGGGAAGTACTAATACCACTCTATAAAGCCTTAGTAAGACCACACCTAGAGTACTGCATCCAGTTTTGTTCACCACATTATAAAAAAGATGTTGACACTCTAGAAAAAGTACAGAGAAGAGCAACCAGGATGATTAGGGGACTGGAGGCTAAAACATACAATGAACGGTTGCAGGAACTGGGCTTGGCTAGTCTAGTAAAGAGAAGGACCAGGGGAGACATGATAGCGGTCTTCCAATATTTAAACACACAATACAGGTAGTCCTCGACTTCTAAAGTGCCTGTAGACCAGACAAGGAATAATGGATGGAAACTGAACAAGGAGAGATTTAACTTGGAAATAAGGAGAAACTTTCTGACAGTGAGAACAATCAACCAATGGAACAACTTGCCCTCGGAAGTTGTTGAAGCGCCATCACTTGAGACTTTTAAGGAGAGATTGGACTACCATTTGTCAGAAATGGTGTAGGGTCTCCTGCTTGGGTGGGGGGTTGGACTAGATGACCTACAAGGTCCCTTCCAACTCTGGTTATCTGTTATCTGTTAACTATCTGTTGCTGACTAGTCATGGCTCTGTATACCTGTGCAGATTCAGGAGTGAGTGTTGGAAGAGACAAAACAGCCAAACAATTTCTAATAGCTTTCTGCTTTGCTGATAAGGAGCTAGAAAGAGAAAATAATTTAGCTATTCATAGAACAACACATTAATAGTCAAAGGAGCAGATATGGAGCTGGCATCAAGGGAGGAAACTAAAACTTCCAGTGACATGTTAAGATTGGAGAAAATTCTAAGACAAAAAGTATAAGTAACAGAGGAGCTGGTTG